ATTTAGAGGTTTTTCATGCATTCATGAAGGACATAACACTTTATTTTCTGCTATAAAAAAGGTCTCCTCTCTTTAAGAGGCTTGAAACTGAGCATAGCAGTGCTTCTCCTCCCAGGAAGCACCCACAACTGAAAGTTGTGGTGAGGAAAAGATATTTTCAGGCAATTCGCACACTGCACCAAGGACAGTACTGATGAAAGGAAGAGGTAAAACAAACAGGCTGAGACTGAATGTATGACATCGTGATCAGGACAATGCAATGTATCCAAAGCTGACCTTTTTGCTTCCTTTTACTGCTTGACTCTAGAAATAACCCAGGTAGCAGTGCATAATTCAATCGCACTGGCAAGTTTATTCTCCTGCTACGTTACAAGGGCATGGTAGGCACCAACAATAAAGTTAAAGTAAATGTCAGGAGGCCAATGAATTGCTGAAGCAGACATTTGTTCTGATCTTCCATGAAGCACAATAACTCTAATGGAAGCTAATAGAGGATTGTAAAACCTAATACCATGATGCAAGCAGGAAAACACCCAATGTACAGTCTGAGTGAAGCAAGAGAAATAAAAGAAGCAAGTAATAATCCTTACTTCACTACAGAGACATGAAAGCAAGCACAGCATTTCCCTACCATCCTCTCTGGCTTAAAAAAAACCCCCCCGCGGGGGGGGGGGGGGGGAAGGGATTTTTAACCCATAATCCTTCTTCTTGAGCAGCTTGGACCCAGCAGGTGACAGAAGAGAGGACTTTCGGGAGACAGAGTAGACTAGGGATGAAGACATGCTGAGCAGGTATGAACCCTGGCTGTCAAAGAAGTGTTTCTTCCTGTTTTATAAGCTCTGCTGCAGCTGGGGATGCTGTGGGATGGATGGCCAAGAAGGAACCAAGCACTGGGGATGCAGAAGACCTAAACTGCCGGGTACAACCACTCCCTGTCCTCATGGCACACCTGGCTCACTGCTTCCTCTAGCTGCTCCCACAGCAGCAAGAGGAGCTGGCTTGGCTTAGAGGAAGAAGGCTCCTGTTTCAGCTTTAGAGAGGTGCTGGAGCAAACCTGCAAGCTTGGGGCAGGGAAGTGTCCTGCCCACGGCAGTGATATGAGAAACCAGCCCTTGATTTATGCATAAATCTGTCTCCATCTCTAAGTGCAGTGATGGTTTCCAAGCCTCTTGCTTGGCCAGGCAAACCAAGTGGCTATCAGTTATTTCTTAAGTAATTTAAAACTGTGTTTGCTACAAGGATCCTACTGAATGCAAATCCCAACACAAGCCCCTAGACAAGGCCTGGCAGGGCTTTCCCCTCAAAAGTCACCCCTGGAAAGTTTTGATGGTTTGTAACAGCTTTCCAGAGGCTGGGACACATATCCCAAGATCCTAGTGGATTCCCACTCAGGCATCAAAAGTTTAGATTCAGAGTCATTTGGCAGATCCCCCTAGTCTTTCCACCGACTGCTGGAAGGTTCCCAAAGCTGAACATAACTAAACTGCTCCAGAAAAATAGTAACACCAAAAAAAAAAAAAAAAAAAAAAAAAAAAAAAAAAAAAAAAAAAAAATCCAGTCCCAATTGTAGCCTGCTGGGCATTTCTGAAAACCTAGCTCTTCAATTTTAGCCTGCTTTGAAAGTGCGTAACAAATTAAATGGGGCTCATTTGTTACACAAATGATAGCTGGAGTTTCAAATAAAATAAGCCTAACCTTGATGGAGATTTCATCAGCACAGACTATTATTTCCCTCTACTAATGGCTAACGGTCTAGCCATCTTCACCGAGCAGCAAGAGGTCTCCTAGCTGCCTGGGTGAATTATGGCTAGAGTAAGTAAAATTAACCCTTCCAGGATAAGTATGTGGGTCATAAAACAAGAGCTGCACAGCTGCTAATGCCAGCACAGGCAATTTTTATTAATCAGCTTGCTGAGCATATGGCAGGAGAGCTGCCCGCCCTCCTGGACCACGGGCTTTCTAATGGCTGTGCCATGTCAGAGCAGCCTCATGTTAATTGATGCCTTCCCTTGCCTTTGGGGAGGGATGGGTGTAAATACAGATGAAGTGAGATTGGGATGATCAGGGGTGTAAGTGCTAGTGATTCGCAGGTTGTTGAGCCTCAGTTAAGATGGAGGACAGGGAGGAGAAAGCCAAAGAGTCTTGTCATAGGGTTCTGGTGTCCATCCTGTTCACCAGCGAGCACTGGCTCTCCAGGAGTGCAGTGCTCCTACTGCTCAGCAGCACAGTTAGCCTGCAACGCTGGGACTTGCTCGCTCTGGCTAAAGGAGTGAATAAATCCCCACAAATTGCTGTAATATGGATTCAGCCCACAGCCTCTGTGGCGTAAATACACATCTGGTCTCTGTAATGAAATCAGCTGAAAGCACCAGTGTGCATTAATAACAAAAACGTTCAACATATTGCTACCAAATAAGCTCTGCTTGTCTTGAACTTCTATTGTCACATGTTAACGCCCTTTTAACACTGATAAATGATGAAGTGCTACAAAACATTCATCAAGGGACTTAAGAGTCAAAAGATATGCATTACTGTAGCATTGTTTTCTATTCCATCAGTTCTTTTACAATTTGGGCAGAAGTTAAAAACAGAAAGTCAGAAGTGCAATGCAAACATTTCATATTAAGCCTGCCTTTCTTTGGTAAAGATTTCTCAACTACACAGTTTATTCTGTGCTTGCATGGCATGAGAAAAATCCTTAGGGATGCATGAAAGGGCAAGTTTTCTTTTGCATTAAGTCAGTATTTTCCACATGCCCACCCATCTCCTCCTCTCCCTTGCTCTTTTAATTGCCCCAAATAAGAACTGTCATTCACTCTAGTTCACTCTTCAGTCTCTCTCTTTTGCCTTTTCCTCACCCTCTTTGCCTTAATTTCCATTTTTACAGTCTTGCTTTCTTCATGCAATTCCTGGCTACTAGACATGCCTCATGCTTTATGTGTGACTGACTGTTGGTCACTTTGGGTTCCCTGTTGCAAAAACAACCAGGAAGTTCAGGAAGGTCAGTGTGTAGACTCAACATGGTCAACACACAGAAAGGTTTTACCTTTTGAGTGATGTAGTTGATCCAGGGAGAAGAGCAGTTGCTAAGATCAGGTCCTTGTGGCTCCCAGATCCCATCTGGCGCAAGACACCGGAAAGTGGCAACACCTAGAAGAGGAAAGACGCTGTGTTCAGTGTTACCGGTTGCATTTCGCCCCCAGTACCTCATGTCACAGGCTTCATTTCAACATCCACTGCATGGACACCTCATGCAAAGCCTGGGAGCTTATTAGCACTCAGGACCACAGAGGACACTTCTGAGTCATCTCAGTGTCCCAGTCTCCCATCATCTTAGTGCTTAGGGGCCCTAAGACATAAAAGACCCATGAGGATATTATCTCTATTTCACCAAATGGAGACTACGGATAGAGGGCTTTGCCTTAGGTCAGGCAGGAAAGCTGCCCCCTGGCCTAAGAAATCAGAGCTGGATCTCAAACACTGAGCCAGCACATACAGTGCTGTGCCCCACCGCTGGCACCCGGGGATCAGACCCTGCGCCGCGACTTCCTTGCTGCTTTATGAAGGTTTTACTGCTCCAAATCATCATTAAACCATTTGGGTGGAAACACATAGAAGTTTAAACGCTCCAAACACCAAGATGTAATGGTAGGCTTTACTGTCCACCTCCAACAGTCAAGAGGGACTTTAGAGAAGAGTTTTGTCTAGCAAAGGCTGCCCAGATCCCTACTGCAAAAGACAGCAAAGCGCTTCAGACTCTTCCAGACAGAGAGAAATCCATCCAAAATGGTGCAGTTAAAGATCTTTAAAAAGCAAGGAAGCCAGTACATGTAGATTAAAGACTCTGTGTCCTGTAAAGTGCTCTGCCCTGCAGAGCCGAACTTTTCAGCAGAGGAGTGAATTACAGGCTAGGTCTGATGGTAGCGCCGATTAAAACCAGTGAGAGTTTGCTCATGCCTTCAAAGGGAGTTGGAAGAGGCCCACAGCTAATATACCACAGCTTTTAACAAGTCGCATGAATCACTGAAATTAGAAATGGGGAAGGCTTATTGCCATCCCTTATCAACAAGCTGAGTTATTTTTTTTCTTCTTAGCTATTTTCATCCAGTCCTTAGCTCTTGTGCTTAGAAAAGGGCTCCCTGCATCCAGCCTTCATTTTCCTTTTTTATCTTTTCTTTCCTTTTTCACAGCTTCAGTTCAGACTATCCTTTCCCCTCTCTGGGAACCACATGATACTTTTTGCATTAATTTTACCAAGTGGGGCTGGGAAAGACAGCAAAAATGTTCTTTACCTATTCTCACTACTGACGTCTTTCCATGCCCCTCATACTTTAATATGTATTTTATCAGTCTGACCTCACTAAATTCAAGAGAGTCAGTATTTGTACACAAAGGTGCGAATGGCTCTCCAGGTCAATGGAGTGGAGAATTAACAGCCTCCTCTGCAAGCCAGATCTCTCCAGCCCTTATTTTCAGGCACCTTCCTCCACCTTCTGATTTGTCCTTGGCAAGCGAGTTCTCAGGGCTGGACATCAAGACTAGCTTGAAAAATAAATACTTTTAGAAAACTGCATTTGTTAAAATACAGCAAACTGAACCATATGCCAAAACCCATTCTTCATTTGACTGTGTTTTAGTTTGGACAGAAAATTTCCAAAAGCAACCTTTTGGAAGAAAACAACTGCAGGGAAGAGTAGAAGAAAAGGACCAAAATCCAAAAAACAATAAAACATTTTGAAAGATTTGGCTTTGTTTTCCCCCTGCTTTCCCTGCTGATCACATCGGATGCTGGCTGCAGTCTGAAAAATCACTCACACTGGTTCAGGAGTGTGATCTGGGAATACCTGTGCTCCAAAATGCTGGCCCCAGCCTTTGAAATGCAAACAGTGCAGCAGAGAACTTCAAAATCTAAGTTTTGTTGATTTCCCTTGCCTCCCCATCATCCCCCCTAAACGAGTGAAGCACTGGCCATCAACACATCAGTGAATGAGCCCAGAGGCTACAAATACAGGCCAAAACAGGGATAACGGGCGCATCGTACATAACTTCTGGAGGCAGAGGCTCCTATAGCACATCAAACTCAACCCCACAAGGTCGTTAGCTTGTACTCTCCTGTGGCCAGAGTCTGGGATGCCAAAGATCTTGCACAACATGCTCAGCATAGTGAAGCTTTGGCCCTGGCCAGCTGCTTGTCATACCCCACCAAGGCAACGCAGACCTGACTGAAGGCATCAGCGTGCTCCACTGATGAAAACACATGTGCCACAGGGACCTCTGTGCACACTCAAAACGTCCCATGGGCAAACAGAGATGGCGCACCATGTCCTCCCACGCCTCGACTCACCTATCGAGCCCATGGGACACGGCTGCTTCGCTACCTGGCCCTGCCGAGTCCGAGACCACATAATATCGCGGACTTCCATGGGGTCACAGCTCTCCGCACCAGTTGGCGGCAGCTGGGAGGAGGCAGGTGGGAGGTGCGTGGTCATTTCGTTGGGGACGTCGGCCATGGGTGATGGCGTGCTGGTGCTCCTGTTCCTCCTGCCTGCGGCCGAGGTGGTGGTGGTGCGGCCGGTGCTGCTGGTGGCCACTCGTGGCGTGGTGCTGGCAGGGGTGCTTCCTGGGCCAAGAGCCCCCGATGTTGATACTCCTGAAACAAATGCAGAGCTGATTAAAGAGATGAAAGATAAAAAGGACTCAAGTCCAGGTCCCGAGGATGACCCCTCTGCCGACTGGGGAATGTCAGGAGGATGGAGCCAGGCTCTTCTCAGTGATGCCCAATGGTAGGACAAGGGGCAATGGTTGTAAGCTGATACACAGAAGGTTCAACTTAAACTTGGGAAGAAACTTCTTTATGGTGAGGGTAACAGATCACTGGAACAGGCTGCCCAGGGAGGTTGTGGAGTCTCCTTCTCTGGAGACATTCAAGACCCGCCTGGACACCTTCCTGTGTGATCTCATTTAGGTTCCTGCTCCAGCAGGGGGATTGGACTAGATGATCTTTCGAGGTCCCTTCCAATCCCTAACATTCTGTGATTCTGTGACTGTGGTGGCCTGCCAGGTACAGTTGGAGCTATGGCTAACAGAAGGCTTGCTGCACAGCCACCTTTCAGAGAGGGGTGCAATGACTGCTGGAACACAACTGATTTTCCAAAAGCACTAGCAACTGATGAAAATAAAGCAGCACTTTATGCCCTCACTATTTTTCTTCCTGGCATTTTAATGTAAAAATCTTTTTTTCCATCTTTTAGGGAACACCTAGCACAGAAGTGCTTTTAATTTTTTAGTGTTGCTGAAGACCCAGCTGGTTTGGACAGAAAAACACTTTCCATGGAGTAATAAAGAAAAGTCCACACCATGAATCCATCCCTAAAACAGCAGTGCAGAGAGGGATGAACGCAAGGTTTCAGAGTCACAGTTGCTCCATGTCTAGCAACACACAAATTGGAGTTTCTACATTAAAGACAGCCATGTGTGAACTCCAGCCTAGCCAGAAATTAAAATTAAATGCAAGAATCACCCCGTAACCCTGAAGAGCAGCATCTTAACTATCCAGCTGTGTGAGCAGGCGTGTCCTGCAAGCTCCTGAGAGCAGAGACTGTCTCTCTTCTAGGTCCAGTGAAGTAGACCATGCTCACTATTTGTGCAATATTAGTTATTAATATATAATGATATTGCTGTCACTGGACTTCATTCAAGTCAACCTATTTCAAGCATAGAGATGCCTGCCTTGAGTGTAAAATAAGAGTTTTTTCCATTTTGAAAGGAGTTTTTTTGTTATTTAAGTAATTTAAGCCCATGGTGCTGTGAGCAATTCCCCTGACCCAGAGTAATCAATAACATGGCAGTTAAAATACACACTTGCTCTGGTTTTAAGTAATTTTACTCCAAGCCTGAGATACCCTCTTCTCAAACTTTAAAACTCATTATCATCTAAACATAATATTCTGAGGGATCAGTATTTTTCAATAAAACATTCCATTTAAAAATCTCAGCTCTACTGTCCCTCAGAAAATGGGATTATCTTCTCCCCCAGCCTCTAAAAAGGTGAGCAAGAGAGTAACAGGCCCTAAACCACCGGAGCACTGATCTGAAATCAGGTCTCCCAAGCTCATCGATCAGATTTTCCAGCCTTGTGCCACCTCCCTTCTACTATGAGCCCTAGGTTTGAACGAACTCCAAAAAATACAGTGCAAAATCCTACAGACATTGACAGATTTCTTCCAGTTTCTGCTCAAAGCTGTGCTAGACCACCAAGCAATGATTTCCATCTGACATTACAGGGAGGATTAAAATTTGTAAAGAACTTCGGCAAATATTATCTGCTTTTACTACAACAGGTCTTGCCACGAGTACATATTTTACTTCTTCATAATAACCATTAGCCTGGTAGATAACAACCTGCAGAAATTTTCCCATTTACTCATGCAATAACAAGTTATTTCCTATTTGCAAAATGACCTACGCCACGCACTAAAGGTGTGGAGGTATCGAGTAGATATAGTGGATGCAGTTTCAAAGCCAAAACTAGCAACCCCCTCCTTAAAATAATTCTTACAGTCTTTTGTGAGCATATAGAAACATATACTGAGCATCCAGGAGCTCACCTTGACCTGCCTGCAGTGGTGCTGCATTTCTGAGCCTAGTTTTCATTGACAATCATTTAATATCTCGCAGCACGTTGTTTTTGGAATAGCTTTGGCAAATTTACTGTAGCATCCAGCCACAAGGGATTTAATGGCATTTTCCTTTAGCCGCAAAGAAAGGAAATGTTTTATCTTTCATAAACCCCATGGCACTAACGTAGAAATCTCTTTGAGGGCTTGTTCTTCCAACTTTTTTCTTGTTCAGTTGGGCATTCTTGCTGCTTTTAAAAATAAACACCTCTGCCATTTACATAGGACAAACTATAAGAAGACATAAAAGAGCTGCCTCGAAGTGGCCTAATGGAGTGAGATGGATGGGATACCACTGAACTCAGTTCAAAGGTCTGATTATTCATTGAGTCAATTTGGTAATGAGCTCCAGCAAAAACGATCACCATGCTAACACCACCCAGTTTCACTGGCCCCAGGCAGCACCACTTGCTGATTTTGCTCACACAACTGTGTGCTCTAAAACACAGTTAATTGGTAAGAAGGAAAAAGAACAAGAGATCAGGATAATTTACATATAAATGATTCTCAAATCCAAGCAAAACCACGAAGAGACTGCAACCTGTGCAAAATTACCTAAATCCTACAGCACAGAACAGAGATCAAACCTCCAGATTAACTCAGGCTGCCAATAAACTGTGAATTTTTAACTCGGGGAAAACCAGCACTGCAGCATCGCTTGAACAGAAGGATTCTTCAGATAATACTTCATAATACAATCTTTGCTCATAGACAAGCAGTAACCTTTAAAAATCATCAACACTATTATAACTAGAAATGGATAATCTTGATTAATCTATTTTTACTACTTGTTTTTACCATGCATTGCCATACCAAGAGTTTAAAGACAGCTTTTGAGTAAGACTCAGGTTTTACTCCTAGGCTTCAAATGCAAAATATTCATGAGACTGTAGATTTAAATTCCATGAAACACAGTCCTGGGGTAGGTATTTTCACAGCGTTCCCAAGAAAAAAAACCTGTGGCTGTGGACATAGCTCTTTCCCAGAAACACCCCAAAGTGATACTTCACTTTTTTCTTCCCCACTCTGTCTAGAGAGCTGGCACTAATGGTAGAGCCTAAGTTTTGCCATCATTCAGACTAGAGCTGCAGCTACTTAAAAAACTCAAAACATTTCCAGTGTCCACAGGGGAATAATTGCAACTCCCAGAGGAGTCTCTCTACTCCCGGCACATTGACTAGCAAAAAAAAGAAATTGTTAGGTTTTTTCTCTTCTTTCTTTTATTTCTCAAGCTTTACACAGAGCTCAGGTCTCTGGAGGTGGAATTTTGCTTAGTAGAAGAAAAATCATGGAAGGAATTGCTCACAGGGAAAAATCTTCAATAAATAAGGATCTGTCCTTTTTTTTTTCTTTTTTTTTTCCTTTTTCTTCCCCTCCCCATTTCTCTCTTTTCCTCTTTCCTTGGCTAACATGACGAGTGCACAATTGGCCTAAGACCAGCGCTTCACATCTGCCACTGGGAAAATCCAGTAGACATGTCATCTTACCTTCTGTTCTGCTCACCTACCTCTTCCAGGTGCTCCTAGACGTGGGAGACTGCTTTTCCAGATGAGACTGACTAGTGTTTCCCTATCACAAAACCAGCTTTGATTGCAAGCAAGGCTATTTGCCATCACTACCAAGCTACCTTTACCCTCATTTTTTCTTTTGGCACCTAAGTATCCAGCCTATGATCCAAAGTACTCAATAACTGAAAATACTTTTTAAGAGATATCATGTGTTTTCTGTCCCATGAATGGAAGATGGGTGCTTCTTGAACAGAAATTGCAGATGAGATTTCCTAGGTGAGGTTTGCTGGCTTTTGCTAGGTAACACATGACAGAAGACATCTGTCAAGCTCTACCCTGGGGGTTGCAATCCAAAGGTTTAGCCTGACGGCTACGTGCTACGAGACAGCATTCGCTCACGTAACAGGAAAGAGAGGCCGCACTCCAAGTTTTGCGCACAAGGTCCAAACAAACCATGATGACTTCACTCTCCACTGAGTTTTGCATTCCCGAGCCTGATGCTCAAGCAGACGTGCTGGGGTGCTGGTGGCCAAGAGCTTGTGCCTGTTCCCTGAACCGTAGCTAGTGCAATGCTCGAGCAACTGAGGTACAACTGTTCTGAGGGGTTCAACATCCCTGGGAGGATACAGCAATCCAAGTGCCCTCCTGAGCATGTCCAGGCTGTGTTCACAACTATTTACACACATCGCTGCCACTCTAAAATGAACAGAGCATTGGTGGGTTCTGAAAGTCTGCAAGAAACACAAAACCTGGAGGTCCCTTCTTCCCTCCCTCCCTGCAAGTTTTGCCCATTTCATATTTGGCAACCACATCCTTTGCTTACAGCATCCTCTTTTATCATCTGTTCTTCTACTGATGGATGGTGCAAGCTGTATTTACATAGCAAATAAGAAGGTTTAGGCATGTCTTGATAGAAGCAGCACAAAAAAAACCCCAAACCTAACAGTGGGAGGATTATATCACAGCTGTTTTTCTCTTCCCAGTCACATAAATGCATCTCATGGGAATTAGTTTTCTACAGACATTTTCAAATGCGATTCAGAACATTTTCTGACACTCCCTAAAAAAAAAAATCTTATTTGAAAATAAATATATTCCCATTTTCTTTTGCCTTTTTTTTTGAGTGGCTTTTCACAAAACTCCTTGTGATGTGACAGAAAAGGATGACTGAAGTCAAGGAGCAGCTAGTTTGAGTCTTGCACACGCGATGCCATCCCTAAGAGCAGCATAAGCAGGTATCCATCAACCCAGTAATTAACAAACCACTGTTATACAGAGTCCACATCGCAAAAGACATCATGCTGCAAAACCACCTCAGGCTGGAACTCTGCTGGAAAACCAAAAGCTACGTGCCAGTGCCACCCAGGAGCTGCGGGCCAGAGAATCAACAAGGTAAGATTAGCCACTAAATTATGTACAGCTCCTTCCATGCATTTGAGAGGAACTATGATTTCTTTTTACTGCAG